AATTGCTCATTTCTCGTCCTATTTAAATCTCTTTTAAAAATGCTTCTAAAATAAAAATAAAAAGAAATAAAAACACACGCCATGTATTTTATAATGTTTTATAAATATCTAAATTTATATGCAACAAATGGAAATATTAAAAAAATAAGAAATTATTAAATATAATGTTAAAAAATTAATCATTTAAAAACAAATATAAAATTGATGTAAAAGTTATTCATTTCTTAATAATTGACACTAATTGTAAGTATGATTTAGGATTATCTTAATTATTTATAACAGTTATTTATTTTTTATAGAATATGTATATTAATTATATATATAGTAATTTAAAAGAAAATTTTTCGGAAATTCTTTAAGTCAAACTTAAAACTGGACACTAAATTAAAACAATAACAATTTGGCATAGCACAACCTATCCCTTCTATATAATAAATTTCCTTTTATCTCTAAATATGATTTATATACATATACATATCTATATAATTACCGTTTTTATTTAGTTTTGGTGAAAATTTATATATTTATTTATATTTATTTATATTTATTTATATTTATTTATATTTATAATGATGCGTTGCTCTAAACAATTATTTTTTATTTTTTTTAGTCATCTATTGTAATTATTATCGATTTGAAATGAATCAAATTAATTATCATTTATATATTTACAGGGTTGGAAAAGTTAATGATTTTTTAAAACTAAGTTAAATTACAATTTGTTGCTTATAAAATTAATTTAGTTAAGTTAAAAGTTGCATGAACAAAAATTAATTCACAGTTAAAGTTAAGTTAAAATTAAATTAACTGAAGTTAAATCAAAATAAGTTACAACATTATTTATATTAAATTAGAATTTTGTTTGTTAATTCTTTTAAAATTTATAATAATAAGAAATTTTGATTTTTATATAGAAATATATTTTTTGATAGTTACAATTAATGACAAATGAACATAAAAATGTCAAAAATAATTAAAGTTAAAGTTAAAAATTAATACATTTTAAATTATATAACTAAACTAAGTTAATAATTATTAACTTTTTTTACTTTTAACTAATTAACTATAATTATTACTCAACCTCATATATTCATAATGTTATATATATGTGTGTGTGTTTTATTATTCTATGTATATGTATTTATAATTCGTTTCATTAAAGATTTTAATGTGTGTAACACAATAAGTATAATTATACGAGTTTGTGTTATATACGTTTTTATTTCTTTCACAATAAGGCATCCTTAGAACATAGCAGCTACTATCAACGCAACAGATCTATGTGGGAGGGATGTACTAATATTTACTTATCTTACATTCTGTTCTTGTACATCAATAAGTAATGCAAATACGCCTCGAAGGACAAAAATAGCTATATTATATAATATGAGACTTGGGAAATGAAATCTAATAATATATATGTATAAGAAAAATTATCACTTTTTGTGGGTTAATAATTTCAAAATTTTAGATACACATATAATTAAATTATTAATTTTACTCGAGCCAATCGCAATAATTGAACATTTTTATATATACATATATGTATAAAGAAAATCATTTTGTTAAATATTTCATTACAGCTTTAATTCTAGAAATATTTCAATTGAAAGTGTGTTTGAAGAATTTCGGGGACGCTATTTAACAACACTTCTCACAATCTGTCTTTGCATTTAAAACCGCACGACACGTGCGGTTGTTTCACCACGAAAGTTAATTCTCTGCTATTAAATGGAAAGTCTAACTGCAATCGTAGCTATCTTTTTGCATTTAGCTGACAGATCTTGAATAAAGTATCACAATCCTTTGCAAGCACTACATATAGCTTATATTTTAGTTTATCGCCATTTCTTTTCTATACCTATTTATTCCTGATATCTCTGCTATTAATAATAATATTAATTTCTTATAATATTATAAATAAATATTTAAAATATAGTATATAATAACGTATACTTCTAAATCATATTTATTATTATTATTATTATTATTATTTATTATATTATTATATTATTATTTATTATTTTATTATTTATTTTTATTATTATTTATAATTTATTATCATTATTATTTATTATATATTAAATAATACCTATTAGATTATTTTATCCTGCATATATGTAAAAAAATATTCATGCGTTTTTTATTAAAGTTATTTATTAAAAATGCACAAGTCAATTAGAAAATCAAATACATCTTTTATATCGTTCGTAAGGATGAGCAATAATTCGAAATAATGTACTAGCATATGTGAAAAATGCGCTGCATTTTCACTTTTGTACATATTGTGAAAGGATAATGCTGTACCAGCAAATTGCTTATAAAAAGTGTAAAATAAAAACCAACTTGACTATATATGTACTTTGGACTATGGCGTCGATATATAATGTATATACATGCAAATTAATGCATTCAAGGAAACGATTCTTGCGCTTACGCAACGCAAAAAAAAATATAAACTTGCTGGTATTCTTACGTAACTAAAGGAATCTGTTTTTATTTTTAGTTTGGACCAAATGCGTTTAACACAGATTTTTTATAGTAAACAAATATATTTATCAATATTTTACATATTAATAACATTTTTATTAAATTATAATAAATATTTTAATATATACAAATTAATATATATGTATATTTATTTATGTTTATATATTTAATATATTATTAATGTATATTAATTATAAATGTGAAAAAAACTTTGAATTAAAGTGCTCAGATTAAGAGATGAAAATAAATGCAAAATAAAATATTGTGGCGATAAATGCCACAAGCATATAAAATATACAGGGTGTCCGGTAACTAACGGACCAATGATTAAGGGCCAATTTGAGACGATTTTTCCTTAGCAAAAATGTTGAGAAGTCAATAATTTTCGAGTTATAAGCGATTGAAAAAATGGGTTTTTTGAAAACTAAACGTTTTGGAGTTAAAAGTCTAACATATAATAATTACATTCTTCAATTAATTTCAGGTAGAGTTTATTATAATAAAATTTTAATTTGAGGCTTAGTTATAAAGATACATAATAACAAATATTGGAAAGTTGTAAAAAATGATGACCTTTTTCGACATTTTCGCTGAGGAAAAATCATTCCCAAATTGACCAAAGAATCCATTTGTAATCGTTGGTCCGTTAGTTACCGGACACCCTGTATACAACATAAAAATAAAAACATTATTTTGAATTATTGCTCATCCTTACGAACGATATAAAAGATGTATTTGATTTTCTAATTGACTTGTGCATTTTTAATAAATAACTTTAATAAAAAACGCATGAATATTTTTTTACATATATGCAGGATAAAATAATCTAATAGGTATTATTTAATATATAATAAATAATAATGATAATAAATTATAAATAAGAATAAAAATAAATAATAAATATAATAAATAATAATATAATAATATAATAAATAATAATAATAATAATAATATACAAGCGACGTGTGTTAAGGATATCGCGACCGGTAACACAAAACAATAAATAAATAAACGAGGGACTAATATGACGAAGGTAAATTTCGATTTCCGAACATAATAAAAAACGAGAGTACCTCAAAATAAAGATAGAGTCTAATCACCTAAAAATAAAAATAATGTCGAGGAATGATGGAGTAAAGCGAGACAATGCGCGGCCTCGAGGCCAGAGAGAATTTGACTTGCGTTCGCGTAACACGTTTTGTTTCCCGGCGAAAAGTAAAAGTTTGTATCAGGTCTTTTGTGACACGAATAAAATGAAGTAAGATACATTATACTGTGCAACCCCAAATTAATATTCCGGATAAAATATCCTCTCCCGATCCGCGATAACGGCGAAACATAATTGACGAACAAGAACGCACCCAAAATATAATATATATGTATGAATTTCCTCTAATAGCACTACAAATCCGAAGGACGTTTAGAATTTAAAAATACAAATTAAATCATCTTCAAATAATTCAGGTAGTAATAATAATGTCAAGTTACATCATTTTTGCATTATAATGACTATTTTTTACTGCTGGAAATTTTAAAAAAATATACGTGGTAAATAATGAATATTAATAATGTTTTCTTCCACTTTAAATTTTCTGAAACTTATCTTTTTATACGTATGTCAAGTTTGATATATAGATGTCATTTTTTATATTTATTATAAATATTTATATTTATAAATAATATATCTATTTTATATATATTGTATTTCATATATATTATATTATACATATATATTTATAATTTTGTAAATTTAATTAAAAGTTGAATGAACAAAAAGCTAACTCAATTAAAAGTTAAGATTTAGTTGACTTAATAAAATCACATCTCAAAAATTAATTTTTAAAAATATTATTTAGATTAAATTAAAATGCCATTTTAAAATTTTTGAATTTAATATCTGTTAATTTTTTAAAATTTATGTAATAACAAATTTTTTTAAAATTATGTAATAACAAATAACGAAATAATAAAATTTTGTTTTTGTATATAGGAATGTATTTTTTCTCCTTCTAATTATAATTATGAAAAATAGAAACTAATATATACCTTTATTTATTTTATACTAATACTTGTAAGAGCACATTATATAATATATAGAATAATGCTTTTATTTAAATTTAATCGTTATTAAAAGTTTAACTGTTAAATGTTCAAGATTTTATGAAAAAAATAATAATTTTTTTAATTTAGGAAAAAATAAGTTTAAATTGAAAAATAACTAGTTTAAATTTTTAACTACATTTTACATCAGTATAAAGTATCTGGAGTACTATTTTTGTACTTATTATATAACTATCGATAACTCGATCAATATATCGCTAGCAGACAACTCATAAATTTGAAATTTTGCCGCTAACTTCATTTAGTACAGCGAGTACATAAAATAATAAATATTTCTCTGCATTATACTCTATATTTACTCTGTAATGTAACCCCGGGACATACAAGCTCGAGCGCACACGTAATGCGAAGCAATTCTTGCGCTGCGCGACAGCCGGTTTCCGTGTTTTATTCGTCCTGGTTAGTCCGTCATCGTCCGTGGAAAGCAACGGACGTCTTTGAACGCGTCTAACTTCGCGCGTGTTTTTTATATTCGAATTCTATATATTTTTAACCTAACATACCTCGGCTATTAGATCGATTTGTATTTATTTGTTACAGGTGAGACTTTTATATTATCTATCAACAGTGTTTGCTATTAAATAAATAAAATTACATAGATGATCATCTAGATAAATTTTTTTGGCGTTATCCTATCTTTTTATAAATAATAAAAATACGTTTTATCTATAGCTGCATCTTAGATGAAAAAAAGTGTTATCTTTACTAATATATAATAATTATGTTCAGATAATTTTTAGAGTCACTACATAAAAATATTTATTAAGTAATAAAGCTTAAGCAGTAAGCAATAAAAATGTATAAATAATAAAAAGATAAATATATGAATATATATATATATTTATATACTTTTTATAATTTACATTTCTTTTTTACAACTGTGTTTACATAAAGGCGGTCTTAAAATAAATAATATTATGACCTAAACAAAAGGTCGAAATGTTCGCTATATTTGTATGTAATTATTTTTGTAAGAGGTTTAGTTATAATAAACTTTGATTTTTGCGCTTAATTATTCGCGCTGGCTCGTTTGGCCTTATTTTCCTGTTTTACTTTATATATTATTATTAAAAGCCAATTTTTTATTTTATTTAATTAATTCTACTATTATTTATAATATATAAATATTTTATAAATAATACATATAACTAATATTATTAAAAATTAGATTTAGATCTAATCTTATCTTATTAAAAATAAAAAATAATGTTATCTGAAAATTATCTAGATGAATCGCCATTATATAATTTTATATTTTATCTAGATATATTTAAAACAAAATTATCTTTATCTTATCTATGATAAATTTACATATTTTCATCTCATCTTTATCTAATTTATTATCTATAGCTAATTATCTAATAATTATAATTCTAATAGTTAATTTTAAAATTATCTAAACACTTTGTTTATCAAATACTTATATATATATATATATAATATATATATATATAAAATCCAAGAAAGAAAATAACATTATTATATTATGTCCTATATATATGTTTTCGATATTCATTGTCAGTATTAATTCCTTCCTCGGATTTTAAATTGTGAGAGAATGTGAAATTCCCTTTCATTTAACATTTTCTTGACACTGCGCCGAATATTCACGAATATCATATATACAGGGTATCCCATTATTAATGTCTCATTCCAAATAACTTTTTACTTCATGAAAAAATACTTTATTATATAGGGTTTTAGAAAGCTCTTGAAATAAGCTACAAGAATATATATACAATAAAAAATATAAATAGTTCCATAAGAAGTCAAAGGTGACTTTCACGTGACCTTCGAGCAACTATTCAAGGTCAAACTATAATGGCATCCTCGAAACTATACAATTTTTGTGTGAAACATTTTCTGCTTCTACAATCAAAAATGAAAAATATGTGGTTCCATTTAAGTAATCGAAGATGACCTTCACGTGACCTTCAAGCAACTATTCAAGGTCAAACTAATGGCATCCTCGAAACTATATAATTTCTGTCTGAAACATTTTCTTCTACAATCAAAAATGAAAAATAGGTGGTTCCATTTAAGTAATCGAAGATGACCTTTACGTGATCTTCAAACAACTATTCAAGGTCAAACTAATGGCATCCTCGAAACTATATAATTTCTGTCTGAAACATTTTCTTCTACAATCAAAAATGAAAAATAGGTGGTTCCATTTAAGTAATCGAAGATGACCTTCAAGCAACTATTCAAGGTCAAACTAATGGCATCCTCAAAACTATATAATTTTTGTCTAAAACATTTTCTTTTACAATCAAAAATAAAAAGTTATTTGAGGCGGAACATTAAAATGGGACACCCTGTATATATATATGTATATCGAAACTCGTTTTTACATACACACACGCTACATTTTTTCGTGGTTTCCAGAGGTATTTTACGCGATCGGAGAGGTGGTGGGGGAAGTATATATATATATATATATATACTGGACGAAGCCGACAGCTGTCGTTCGTTGAAGCGCGAGAGTTCAATCACTTCTGCCAACTTCGACGAGACGGAACGTCGGTATTATAATAGAAAACGTTCACGAGGCGACTCAAGCAAGTCATTTAACGAGAAATATCGTCGTCGGAGGATCATGGCTTCACATGTAACGGACTTTTATAACGGCAAGACCATATTTATCACCGGCGGCACCGGTTTCGTCGGCATCTGTCTGATAGAGAAACTCCTGAGGTGCTGTCACGACATCAAGAATATTTATCTGCTGATGCGACCGAAAAAAGGAAAGCAGATAGCGGAGAGATTGGAGGAGTTGACGAAAAACTCGGTAAATGCCAAAATATCGCACTCACACATTCCTTTTATATGTATTTTTCTATCCAACGTTGTTATATTTTATCATACTATTTTTTTTATTATTTTTGTATCGTATTTATATATTTTATATAATTTTTTTATATATTTGATTTATTTCTTTTTATATTTTATCAACACATTTTATTTGATATATATTCTAAATAGCAAAATGATGTCACTTTGACATCTAATGACATCATTTTGACATTTAATGATGTCAATTTGCTACCTGGGATATTTTTAAAATATTATACATATAACTTTTTTCTCTGTTCAGGTCTTTAATAGACTTAGAGAGGAGAAGCAAACTGATTTGTTTAAGAAACTGATTGCAATCGGTGGAGATGTTGGTGAAGAAAATTTAGGCATGTCCCCGCAAGATCGAACAACCCTGATAAACACAGTACAAGTTGTTTTTCATTCAGCCGCTACATTAGACTTTGAAGCTGATCTGAAGAGTACGACCAACATTAATTTGTTAGGAACTCGTAGAATTGTTGAACTCTGCCAGGAAATTAAAAATTTCAAGGTGAAACAATATTTGCATTAGATAAAGAGATATTTGGTAAAAAAAGAAGAATTGTACAGAGTGTTCCATAGGAAATTGTTGAAACTAATCAGCTGTCATTTTTTAATGCACGCAGTTATTGAGAAAACTACTGTATACTAGTTTATTTTATTGAAAAAGGTAATGAAAAAAATTCTAATTATCACATATTATAGCTAATGATATATGTATTCAAAGTGCGCATTATTTTAATTTATAAAAAATTTATTTATAAAACATGTCTTTTTTTAATGTTTTTAATGTTTTTATTGACAATCCTTTTAATAGCTGCTATTAAATCTGGCACTGTTGAAAATATTTATCATTAGTTTATATGATTTTATGTGATTATTAGCACTTTATTCATTGTTTTTTATCAATAAAATAAACTGGTATACACAAATATTTTATTTATATTTATTAAAAACTGCAGACTTTTCACTTTCCAACAAAATTTTTGTTTTCTCAATAACTGTATGCACTAAAAAGTAACAGTTGATTACTTTCAGTATTTTCTATGAGACACCCAGTATTTATGCATTTCTTAAATAAATTTATTTCAATATTTTATAGCTTTTGACATTTGATATTTGTTTAGGTGCTGGTGCATGTTTCCAGTGCATACGTTAACGCAGAGTTGCACGATGTGGATGAAATACTGTATCCTGCACCCGCAGATGTGAATTCAGTTTTGAAACTGGTTAGTACGTTGGACGTTGCTGCTTTAGTTGAAAAAACTCCAGAGATATTAAAAGGTCATGCGAATCCTTATACATTTACTAAACATTTGGCCGAACATGAAGTAGCAAATGCAGGATTTCCAGCAACTATTGTACGCCCTTCAATGAGTAAGTTTACGCTTGCTTATTCAACATGTGTATTGTAATTATAATTATAAATTTATATTTGTATTTATATTTAGTAATAGGAGCATGGAAAGAGCCAATTCCAGGATGGACAATATCGAAAAATGGACCGCAGGGTTTATAATGGGTGCCAGCAAAGGTATTGTGAGAAGATTACCAGTTGCGGAAAATCTTGTTTATGATTACATTCCAGTAGATATAGTAGTGAACAACCTTATCGTCGCAGCTTATAGTGCCGATCGGGACAGGTAATTTAAAAAAAATATTTATAAAGTGAATGTATTTTTATTTTATGGAAATATAATATGCTTTTATTAATGCTAATATTTAAATTTTCTGAAATAATGTATGATTTTAGTGACAAAGGATTAAAGATATATCACTGTACATCTAGTACATGCAATGCTTTTCGATGGAACAATGTGGAAAAGGAAGTTAACAAATATTTACACAAATATCCATTACGAAGTGCTGTTTGGTATCCATATCTCAAATTTTTACCATCGCTTTTCTTATTTAGAATTTCAGCCATTTTTGTTCATTTTATTCCCGCCTATATTTTGGACACAGTTACACGATTATGTGGAGGCCGTCCAATGTAAGTTGTTTTTCTTGTAGTTAGGAGAGATATTTCATATAAAATATATCTTGTTATAAAATTCTTAAATTTATGTGTATCAATGTTTATTATTTTTTTTTTCAGCCTAGTTCGCTTACATACAAATGTCAGTAAATCATTAGGACGGCTTGAGAAATTTATTTTCCAAGAATGGAAATTTAATAATCCCCGTCTGCTGCAATTGCATGAATCACTATCTCCAGATGATCAGAAATTATTTACATTAGACATTAAGCCATTGGTTTGGAAGGACTATTTTATAGATTTAATACAAGGAGTCAGAACGTATCTTCATAACGAGTCGCCGAAATCTTTACCGAAAGCACGTTCTAAGGATAAAATGTAAGCAACTCGTAAGAACGTAATAATAATAATTATAATTATTAATATAAGAAATATTAATATATTATATATTTTATATAGATTATATTTATTAATATATTATTAATATATTATTAATATATTATTAATATATTATTAATTCATATAATTATAATAATATATTATTATGTTATTATTATTAGTTTGTAATTATTTATTATTATTGATGTACATACATATTCCAGATTGATGATTGCTCATTTGGGATTGCAAGCTGCTCTATTAGGTTTGATCTGGTGGTTGGTTAAAGTTTCATTTGCTACAACATGGACAAAAACTGGCTTAGTTGTACCAATAACATATTTACTCTTCAATCAATTATAAGCAGTATTATATACGATCGTTTTTATCGAGTAAACATGGAAAAAAGCATTCTCATTATTTTTAGGATATACCACATATTATATTGATAAAATATAAAATTTATTTTACACAAATAGAAACATATATACACATAAAGTATTATATCATCATATTTTAATATTTAGTTTCTTTTTATATTATATTTAAATACGAATATCAAATATTTTTGCAATTTATATTTAAATTCTAAATATGTTCTTTCTTTAAAAACATTTAAAACGTTTGAAATGTGAATTAAGAATTTTAGAAACATTGCTTATATAAATTTTTGTTTAGAAGAAGTAATATGATTCGAACATTAATAATAATTGGAAACATCGATTTTTTTATAAAACATGACATTAACATTATTGAAGAAGCTACTCCTTACAAGCTTAAGAAGCAAAAGCATTTGAAATATTCAAACGTAGAGTAAGTCTTGAAGTAAAGAATTATCTAAAGAATAAGGTTTTAACGTGAATCGGGGAAATGTTTGATGAATTGAATTCGAAAGAAATGCAATAAATAATTATATTCTGATATACTATATTCAACACATTGTGATTGTTTTTTTAAATAAAACATGATGATACTTATTTTGAGATCACATAAAACACATTAGAACATATTTTTTATAAAATGTCTATACACACACACACACACACACACACATATGATAAAACAACAGTAAAAAAATTTATTAATAATCTTATACAATATGATATATTTTAGTCTCTCCTCTCCTCATCTTTAATCAAAGTTAGTATTTTACACGGCTTTTTGCAGTTATTTCTTATTATTGTTATATATTTTAGTGCCCAGATAGCCACAGTAATTATTATGACATCATTTTAATGTCAAAATGCATCATTTGTCATCAAAATGATGTCATAATAATTACTATGGCTATCTGGGGTCTATAGGTGTATTAAGGACGAGTATTTGAAATTATATAAAAATATAAAATAATTATATATATAAAATTATAAAATATAAAAATATTTCATTTTTGACTTTATAAAAATATTTATAAAGTGAAATATTTATAAATATTTAATTTTTATTCAATTTTTCGAATTGTGAATATTATATTTAATTTTATTAATCTCGAATATATTTAATTTTAGCTGACCAAAAGGTTGATTAAATAATTTTTTACACAATAATAATATTGTTTCGTCTATTAAACGATACACTGAAAATGATTATAATAAACAAAATTCAACGAATTTTTTTATATCAATATCAGCGTGAGTTTTTCAAGCTAATATTGGTATCATGATATGAAATGCTCCGCCTTCCGTCGATTTTTTTTAGAATTTTAAAATACATTATAGTCAATTACATGCCTTAATGTCATACAAGCATTTTTTAGATTTTTAATGCAGTGGATATTAATGAATGATAATGGAGATCAAATATCTATCAAAAAATATTTAAATACTCTTACTTCAGCATTTTATTTGTTATGTGTCAATATGTATCAACAATATTTTAGCATTTTATTTGTTTTGTATATTTGTAATGTGCATGTATATACATACCAGATGATTCAGGAGAAAAATTAGCATTTTAGAAAGTGATAATATTCGTTATTTTGAGAAAAAAATTCAGACAAATATATATTCAAATTTGAATAATTTTCTATACTTCCAACTAATTAAAAGAGTAAGTACAAAAATATAAATAATAGAAAAACATTACTCATATCTTCTCTTGAATCATTCATATGTCTATAATAATTATAACAAAAATATATATTTATTATTATATATGTATTGTTAATAAAAATTTAATTATATTAACATAAATATACTTTTTTTACGAAAAAACTAATGTATATACAGATATTTTGAAAAGAGTTTCATCCTTTATTCAGTTTTGATGAAATTTTGTAAAAAGTTTTTTTTTAGATTGAAATGGAAACTAAAGAGAATTTTAACAACTTCTATGGAAAGTATTTGTTTGAGAGAAAATGATCAAAAAAGGTGTAATTGTATATATTTTATATTTATACATTTGTATTTTTTTATATCTAACAACAAAATATATATAGTAATATTATATGGTCTTCTTTCTTGTGAATACAGGCAATAATATATAATTGAGCTACATCAAGTAAGTACGCAAAAAAAAAATAAAAAATAAAAAACTTGATCCATTTAGTCATAAAGATTTGTAAATACAATAGCATTAAATAGTAATATATCTAAATAAACAATAATAATTAAAGCAGTAAAGTAAATAGTACATACAATATAAAAAAATTATTCAAATAAAGTATATCTGCTCATGCAAAGCTGCAATTTTTTATATTTTTCACCAAGGGAAAAATCGATCAAAATACTGTCTCTGTCTTTTGATTTGATTGTTGCGAATTGATAGTTTTCTTCGAATTTTGTGAGAATTCCGCAATATGTCCTAATATATATAAACAAAAATTTGCATAATAAAATCAATATACACTCTTTATATAATAAACAAAACAAATAGAAAATTAGTATTTAGAAATTAATAAGATAGAACAATATTTTTTTTTCTTTCACTTTCTATAATAATATTTATTAAATTTACCTTTTCTATGCCATTACTGTTAAATAGATCTTCTGTGTCATTCCTTCTGTTAATCATTCCTTCAAGTCGGTCTGATAGGAGTATGACACTCAACCTTTCAATGTCAATGTATTCGTTTATTTGCTAAAACGTATTATTTTTTAACATTATTTACTTAGTGCAACTCTTTGATTTGACTACTTTTTGATGCTAATATTTTAACTTTTTTGTCGTATTATTAATATAATTATTTAGCTCAATTTTTTGATTTCACTACTTTTTGATGCTAATATTTTAATTTTTTATTAGTATTATTAATAAAAATAAAATATAATTTATAAATATAATTTTTGAGAAAATATTTTTGATGATAATTAGTTTTTGCAAAGAATTATTTTTCCTAAAAACATAATTTTTGAGAAGATAATATTTTTTATTATTATAAAGAACTATTTTTGCTGGCGAAAGATATAACTTAGCGCTTTTTTTTACATCTGTGATGTCTTTTTTTGTAGGATTGTAAGTTACAATACAGATTGACACATTTTGCAGTATTTGTAAATCTGTTGTGTTGTACAATTTTAAGTTTTGTATATATATATATATATATATATATATATATATATGTATATGCAATATTAAGATTAATATTTTATTTAAATAACTTTTAAAAATTAGAATATGAATTTAAGAGAGTGAGAATTAAATGTGGGCGGGAGGGAGGGAAGAAGAGAAGAGAGAGAGAGAGAGAGAGAGAGAGAGAGCACTTGTTTATTTTTATGTTCCTTTAAAGGTCTACTTAATTTTTCCTCTTAAATTATATATTATAAGCTCTAAACATTCACCGAGAATAAAACCAACAGAAATTCAAATTTAAATTGTACAAAATATACACTTGATAATAAATATTATATAAAATGTCCCAGAACTAGCAATAAACTAACAATGTTATATACATATATACAGGATGATTTTGGAGAAAAATTAGCATTTTAGAAATCGATTAAATTGGTTATTTTGAGAAAAAAATTCAGAGAAATATATATTAGAATTCGAATAGTTTTCTATACTTTGAACTATTTGAAAGAATAAATACAAAAATTAAAATAAATAGTAAAAAAAACATTACTCTTATTTTCTCTTGAATCATTCATATGTTTATAATAATTATAACAAAAATATATATTTATTCATTATATATGTATTGCTAGTAAAAATTTAATTATATTAATATAAATGTTCTTTTTGCAAAGAAACTAATATATACAGATATTTTGAAAAGAGCTTTATCCCTTCAGTTTGATGATATTTTGTAAAAAGTTTTTTTTCAGATTAAAATGGAAACCTCTAAAGGGAATTTTAACAACTTCTATAAGAAAAATTTTTTTAAGAGAAAATGGTAAAAGTGTAATAATTATATATATATATATAAATGTGTATATGTGTGTGTATGTGTGCGTAAACATATACTTTTATTAATTAACGTAAAAAACTTTAAAACAAATTAATATAATAACTCAAAATAAATAGATAGTACATTTAGGTGCATTTATCATTTAACAAACATATTTATATATTTACATTTGCACATTTTTATTATTGTTATATCTAATAGTAAAATTTATTATTACAATATAAGAAAAATTTATTACAATATAAGAAAATTATTCATAGGAAGTATGTCCACGCATGTAAAATTTTTTATAATTTCCACTGAGGGAAAAATCTATTATAATACTGTCTCTGTCTTCCGATTTGATTGTTGCGAATTGACAGCTTGCTTAGAATTTTGGAATACTCCTTTACTAAGAAAATCTAAAATATATAAACAAAGATTTGTACAATGAAATCAATATACTGTTTATATAATAAACAAAACAAATATAAAATTATTATTTAGAGATGAATAACATAGGACAATATTTCTTATTCTTTCGCTTTCCATAATAATATTTACTAAATTTACCTTTTCTGTGTAATAACTGTTAAATAATTCTGCATTATTCATTTCATCATTTAGGGCTTTTACGAATTTGAGTTTCAACTTTTCAACGTATTCGTTTATTTGCTAAAATATATTATTTTTTAACATTATTCAAATATAATATTTTTGTATTATCAAAATTGTTTTAAATATTAAATAATAATTATTAATATCGCATTATTATCACATTTTGTATACATATATAAACATGTAAAATTTTTACCCGAGTTTGATTTTCAGAATATACGTTATTAATAATAATAATTAATGCTGCGTTTATACCAACATGTCTAAAAACAAAAAAATGTGTATATAATACACATAATAAACATTTATATAAAATATTTATAAAAATATGTCACACATTACTTTGGTTTTATGTCGTTAAAATGATCTAATATGTACTTCAGTATAATTTGATTCTTCGCATGCTTTGTAATAATATATAAGAAACTGTTACAAAGATATTGATATTCCTGTTCTGTAGATTTGTGTATATATCTTAAATAATTGGTGATGACATCAGTATCTTCAGGGCAAGCCAAGTATTCTAAAAATTTAGTGTCCTTTTTTTTCCATCCTATATAATACACTGATTGCCAAAAGATCTCATTTTTGGTAGTTATCATCATCAATCCTTTACAATATGTCCATTCCTTCCACCATGGCAAAAATCTAAAACATAACAAAAATTAAATTTTCGTATTAAAGATTAGCATATGAATCTCTTGATCAAATTATTTGAACATTATAAGCAATACCTACAAGAAAATTTGATTAAGAAAAGCTAAAAATATATAACAATATATTTACCTGTGTGTTTTAGGTTTTATGATATGTTGTTTTAATATATTGTTGGCATGTTTCTTACAAGTAAAGTCACCGAGAAAGCATGCCCATCTTGCAGCTTCTTGTCGTAAACATTTTCTAAGGTCGTCACTAGCATCAATTTCTTGATAATTGAATCTTCTAAGTACCGAGTTTAATATGTTTCTTATTTTTATCTAAAAATCGTTAAATACACCCAGCTGATTATTTGCTTGGAAATTGTTAACAATTGGGAAACAAAATACGACCAAATATGGTACAAATCCAGGGCTTACTGTATCCTCGAGTGCGCTCCAATTGTAATCAAAAGTTGAAAGTATATCTTAACATCAAGTTGGGTGCAACGCCAGAGCATATCTGTCACTAACAGATGTGTTGCACCCAATTGATGTTAGAATATACTTTCAATTTTTGATTGCAATTGGGGCGCACTCGAGGACACTCGATGCGACGACAGATTGGCAACAGATTTGGAACAGATTTGTCAATCGTAAATTGAGAACAGATTTGCGCCAAATGCTCAGCAAATCGAAGAAAAATCCTAGATCTGAAGGATCTGCTGCATTTTTGGCATCAATCTGTTGTCAACACTTTCGACAGATCTGCTTGCTACTCATTGCCACTTTGTCAATATAATCTGCTAACAGATGTTGGGAAATATTTACTGAATTTATGCTCACAGTGTTTGTAATGACAAAATATGTTTCTTATCTGCGACCATTTCACAAACAAAAGTTGTTGCCTACATTTGCCTCCGCAGAAATGGTTAGCTGGGTATATTTCTCTGTTTAATTAATATTTTGCGCTCGCGTTAAGCCCAATTGCGATTTCCAATCGAATGTCCCTGGACTACGAATTACATCCCCCAAAATATTGCGTCCGCGGGACGATTCCGATAATCACTCGGATCGCGCGACACAATCTCTCATACACGTCCGAGAAATACCTAAACATGTATTTATATAAAAGGAACAAGAAAGGAGCTTTAATAGGAACACGAATACAAGATATAATGAGAAGGCGAAGGAGCGACTCAAGTCAACTAAATATTGACCAAAAAATGACATAAATTTAGAACAAAAAAGTCAATATGACGTCAAATTGACTTTTCTGTTCTCCTTGGGGAGGAAGAATCGTAATGCAACCGTCACAGTAAACATCCGAACGACTGTGGGCTTAACGCGGGCGCAACAATAGGGTATTATATAAATGTATATAAAAATTATTATATTTTTCTATTATTTTCCAATAGATTCTTCAAATTTTCTCTTTCTTCGAAACAAACATACGAATTCACTTATAGACGCGTACATTTATCTATGCACGTACATACACTCAAACATATGTATATATACATGCACGCAAAATTGGGGAGGATCCCAATTGCCTACAAATTGATTGCTATAAAAGACCGTTTACCAATAAATCGTTTGCGCACAAATAATAAAATTTAGACACAAACGTAGATTTGCAACACACAATACTATTGTGCACAAGTTGCATTAAATATCTGAAATATAATATTTTCATTGAAATCTATTAATATTTACCACCACTTTTTGTTCCGACAGTTCTACAGGAAAAGTATTAAACATGTGTTCCAGAGCTTTAAACATAGGATACCATGCTATATAATCTTCTTCTTGATGCAAATAGAATGTAATATTCCAGAATATAGAGGAATTGAGTTGCCCTGCTATCATTAAATGAAATGTATCATCGATAATTTGCGCACGATTAAGAACATGAATATTCATGTAATTAACAGAGTTTAGATAATTTGTTATTCTTCGCCAATTCTCATCATCATAGTTAACGCGATAATATCCTGTCGAATAGTAAATAAATTTTAACAACATTTTTATTGTTTTGAATAATTTTATCATAATATATCTTTAAATATTTTTATTTTGTACTTATTTTGTCAATTTTTTTTGTTTTTAATAATTTTGTCATTAATATATACTTATTTTCAAACTTATTTCAATTTTTGTTTTATACTTTCGTTTATATAAATTATAAATTATAAGTACGTACCAAAAATTTAATGCATATAAATAAAATGCAAATACATATAAAAAATTAATTATAAAAATGTTATCCTAATACTTGAAATAGTAGAAAAAATAAAACTGTGCAAGATACTGTTGTATAGTATAAAATGAAATTGATTCTAGTTGTACATAAATAATAATTATTTTTACTAATCAGTATAATTTCTGTAACATGTAATGTTACAAAAATTGTTTGTTACTTTGCACTTATTATTATATTAATTTTATAAATATAATTAACTTTTTAATAATTTTTATTATTACTAGCACAAAATACATATTTAGAAATATATAATTTTAATATTGATTGATATAATATAGAAAACACTGATGTATACCTTAATTATATATTAAATAATGCAGAACATTACACAAAACATTTTAAAACTATTTATAGTTATATGTAATAAATATTTCAGATTTTTATACGATAATAAATAAAATAGACAAAAATATAAAATAATATTAATTGTGTGTATGTATGTGTAAAATGAAGACGAGTAATAAGTCATAATAAGTCAATGATCGATATTTACCAATCTGTTGCATATTAAATATCATCCAACCATCCTCTTGAAAAGATAATAGTTTTGATTTTCTGCTTGAATTTGCGCATACCATGGAATATAAAAAATCGTTAAAATCGGGATACGTTTCTGTAGTATAAGTAATAGGTAAGCAATCAATCTCTAATTCATTAATATTTTCTATGGACCATCGGAAAAATGTTTCGTACACCGGATGACTATAATCTCGTATTATTTTTATGAGAGGACAATGCTTTTCCAAATCCCAATTATGCAAGTAACGTAGATCATTATTTGTTTGTGATTCTGCAATTTCCCTCATAAAATTCATAAAACTTGGACGATGTAATTGGCTAAATTCACAAAAAATTTAAAATATGTAGAAAAACATTAAATATGTGAAAATTTTTTGTGTAATATTTATGTTATAAAACATTTCAATAAATACTAAGAAGCAAAATATAAAATTGCATTTCTCTTTATAAATTTATATATCTATTTATATATCTTATATTTATATTATGATAATAAAGAATATAACATAATTTTAAATGCAATTAAATAATATATTATTTAATTTTTCATTAAAGCACTAAAACAGATTATATTTGAACAAAATATTGGGAGAGTTATAAAATGATTTTGAACCATAACAAAACAAATTAAAAGAAAATAAAGACAAAACAAAAAAAATCAGAAAAATAAGGAGGTAGATCTACGAGAGAAGAATAATAAAAAATGGAGAAGGTAATGGAAAAGAAATGTTAGATATTTAATAATCTGTTAAAAAAGATTAGAAAACAAATAAAAAATAGCAAAAGATGCAATTAAAAGAAAAGAAATTATAAGAATTATGGACAATATACATATATAAATAAAGGAAATTTTATTTTTTTATTAGTTATGTAATTTTATTTTTTTATATTATATTCTATATTGTATTACTCACTTGCTGTTTGTATATAAGCGAACGATTTTCCAAAATATTTGTTCGGTTAAGGCGTGTTGCATCATGCGCAGTATAAAGGGTGCTACGATTTAAATCAAAATTATATATATTAGATGTATTTTAAATATATATTTATTATAATGGTTGCTTATGAACATTGATTTTAGTGATTTTATAAAGAAAAATTATATATATATATATATATATATATATATATATATATGTGGGGTAGTAATTCGAAAACAAATAAAAAATAGCAAAAGATGCAATTAAAAGAAAAGAAATTATAAGAATTATAGACGATATACATATAGAAATAAGGGAAATAATAAAAAGAATAAAAAGAATAAAAATATCGCGTAAAAGTGAAATGTCTTTTATTGCCGTAACCCTTCATCATTCTATTTTTTAAATTTCTCATTAATTCTTACGAAGATAGAGAACCATTCGGTTAATCTCCTTTACCTACATATGTGCGGCTATTATCGGACACTTTGTGCGTGGAAGTGTGTGTATATGTGTATACATACACAAAAATTTTACATTTTAAAATATCTATACATAGTTTTCTTGAACAATTTATTTTAGGGAAAAACGGTTTTGATAAATTTGTATAATATCTAACGAAAAACAAGGGAACACTACTGGCTTTTTTTTAAAGAATAATTGCCAAAGTTATTTGAAAATCATTTAAGTTTTTTTTAAATGGGTCTACTTTAATTTTTTTATAAATCGATTTCTCGCAATATTCATTATGAAAACAATAAGTTGTAAGAATAAGATAATCACAAAGAGAATATTTAACAGAGTATTTTACATTAGAGAAAAATAGGTGAGAAAAATATAAGTTTTCTTTATATGTAAATTCGAGATTAATTTATATATGGAACTTAGTAATCTCAAACCAAGAGATACAGTTCCGAAAAATTAATTTTTCGCGCTTGGGCTCTATTGACCGATTTAAAAATTCATGTATTATAAATTTAAATATTAATTAAAGAATATAGATATACGTATCAACACACGGACATAAGCGCGCGCGTGAGTGTGTGTGTGTGTGTGTGTGTGCGTGTATGTCTGTACTATTATAAAATTAATATTTAATTATAATCCGTATATATAGAGAATTAATTATCTTATAACTTTACACATATTTTTATAATATTAATAAATGAAAATTTTTACGGACTATTTTATTATATTACGTTATACCTCTGATGAATTTGCGAATTGTCAATAAATTGTCATCTGATGAAGTAGAATTCCACGTATGAAAATCACCATCCAAATAAAAAGAAATATGTTGATTTTGAACAACAAATAAATTTATTATTCGATTATCTGGATAAATCTATAGGAAAAATAATTAATATATTGATATAACCGCTCTGAAAAAAACTTGCATTAGAAACAAATACTAATATATTTAGCGTTACTTTCATGTTAAAAAGAAATAATACTTTTTCATTTTGAAAAACATTCATGTACATAATAATAATCAAATCTAAAATTTTGTATTAATATAATTAGCAAATATTACATATTTTTATAGAATTATTATCTCATATTATATTGCAGATTTCTCTTTATCAAACTTATTTAAATAAATATAGTGTGTACTAATTTTTTATTAATTTATTTTATTTTAGATTTCATAAAAATTTGAAAATATCTAATAAATTGGTGTTAAAAAAATTTAAAAATTTTTAATATTTTACATTATAATTATATGTATGTAAATATTTGAAAAAAGTATTTTTTATGAAACAGTTTAGTATTACATATAATAATAAACTGTTTTTGAGATAATTTACATAGAATTTATACATTTTGCAAAAAGAGTTTAATTTACGAAAATCTTGCAATATAAATGCTTAAGTATTGCATCGTTTCCGAGAAACTGGGAACGAGATTGCGTTAAAAATATTTAGAACAACCTTATTAACACCATACGTTGCAATCAATGTAATAAGACCTTTATTAAGCCACAATTCTGACTGATTGTTCATTAGATCATAAAACCATTCTTGTGCCACTTTACATCCTACTAACTGAGCTATTTCGATGTCGTGAGCAACGGGATATAAACCTTTACTGCTGATGATATCTGTTTCCCTAAAAATTATATTTGAATGTTAAGATTGAGAACTTTCGTAGAAAATAAATCTTTATTTCTGTTACAATTTTTTAATTTTATTATTAGCGGTACGATTTCCAAATTTATGGGTATAATTTAGCAAACCAGTATTGTAAATCGTACCAACTTTAACATTTACCTTAGGGGATACGATTTATTTAGCATACAAACTTTCCCCTTTATGTATATATGAAAACGATAAACTTCAACTTTTTAAATTATACTTACGAATAAACTTAATTTTTATTGTTAGTACTTAAAATTGTTTGTTTTCACAATTTCTGTTATTTTCGAACGTTTACAGAAACAAATGATATACTTGTTTTTAAATTTTATTTTGCATACTATAATATAATTTTATTTTTAATGTAATTTTAAGCACTTGTACTCACTTATAAATAACAAGTCCAAAAAGTGTTATGTCATTGTCATGGAAATTTGGAATTGCAACATGAGTCACATTTGAAATATTTTTCGAACGTTGATACCATTTATTTTTGAACAACAACGTGATATTTTCAGCTAAATTTTTTGCAAATTCCAGGTGAAATCTAGATTCGTTTCTGCACCACATTTGAATGTTTGAAGTGTCATTATAAATATGTAATAGGTCATTAGACACAATCAGTGTTGCAAGATAGGGCGATATTGCAGGTGTGGTATCGAAGTGTGTCCATAATATATTATGCTCATTTTTTTCCGTATTTTGCATTGGCATATTTGACAAAGCTGTGCATTGATTACATCCTATAGAAATGTTAAAGGTTGTTTCTAACAATGACTCCTGTTGATCCTGACATGGAGACAATCGGCCAGTTATCTGGAAATGCGTAGTAGCTATCCAACTACATTTCAAAATATATAAATTAATGAGACTTTTTTGAGAAGCATAAAAATATTGAAAATTAAAAAACCTATAAATGTTATATGCGTCAACGCATAATATATTATGACTTTATTATATATTATTATAATAATTAAAGGTAAAGATTATTCGTCTTTACCCCCATAGCGAAAACATCAAATGGTATCATAGTGATGTGTTCTGGATGACATAACGAAATGCGAATGTCCGCTTTGTCACAAGTGTAATGTCATAATGATATCATTGTGACATCACACTTGTGACAAAGCGGACATTCGCATATCGTTATGTTATGACATCCAGAACATATCACTATGATATCACTGATGTTTTTGCTATGGGGGTATATATAAATTTCACGATATATAATAATTCTTGGGATATTTAATACATAAATAGTACATTTAATTACAATGGCATATTAATTAAAATAATATATTAATTACAATGTTTTATATTATTGCACATTGTACTTTTTTTAATAAACATTTATTATTTACTTACATATCTTTTTTTTCACGTTAAAAATTGAGAAACTTTTATTAATCTCATAATATTTTATATTTAAAGTGTAATCTCCTAGTGATAAAACATCCATGAAGAAAAGAGTAATTTTGTCTTTAATAATTTTATATGTCAGTTTATAAGTTATTGTATCTTTATCATTCTTATGAGAGTTTTCTAAATTTTTAAATAAAACTATATCATTAATACATAATTTTGCTGAAGATAAATATATGTATTTCGTTTTTTTAAGAATTCTTATGCTGATATTGTATTCTCCATGGAAAATATTTCCTTCATTAAATGATATAAGCTTGATATCGTAATGGATTGGTTTTATATTTTTTGATGGTTGATAGCATAAAAATTCATTATGAATAGAAGCCGTCTCAGCGATAAACATTATTCCGCTACTTAATAATAATTTTAAAAATATCATCTTTTCAGAGAAAAGGAATATTTATTTTAGATCTATAAAACACAAAAGATAAATAGAAAAATTTAATACAGTTTTTGATGTCTGTTTTAAATCAATTTTGTATATAAACAAAAAAATAAGTTCAAAAAGTATTAAACTTATTAAAATTATATATACATATATATATACATAATATATATATATATATATATATATATATATATATGTATATGTATGTATGTATGTATGTATGTATGTATGTAGTATGTATGTATGTATGTATGTATGTATGTGTACGTATGAATTTCAATGTCGCACATATTGTAATTGACAGCAATATACAAAAATTAAATTAACAGTACATATTTGATATTTTCTTCAAATAATTAATCTCATTTTTAAAAATTATATACATTTAAAATCTATAAGAATATAAGTTAGAATATAAAGATTTATAGAATATGAAGTTAGTTGTTCAAAGCAAATTACATATAAATGTAAGTAACAATAAACACAAGACCCGTTATTCCTACATATATAAAAACCTGTGTTTATTCAAAATAAGAAGACAGTAGGCATAAGAAAGACTATAAGGAAGGAAAAAGCACATGTTTATTATTTTCCTTTAAAAGTATGTGTTACTTTTACTCGTAAATTGTGTATTATAAACTCTAAACGAACAATCATCGAGAATAAAATCAACATAAAATTAATAATCTTTATCAATGTTCATTTTATCAAATCTTTCTAATTGAAATATTTTTTATATATTAATTATCACTATCAATATACATGTAACATTATTGTGTTTAACTGTAAAAGTAAAAATTTAATTTTAATTATTAAATTTAATTTAAATATCTGAAAACATTTCAACTTTAATAAAGTACCTTATTAAATCGATATAAACTATTGTTTACATATACATTTTGACCGTTTTATATAAAATATTTTATGTAAAAAATTTTACGTATAATATATAGTAATATTTAGTATTCTGTCTATTTCTAACTTATATAATTAATATAGTTCTACTTATTATTAAATATTATATTTACATTTATTTCTCATTTAACAAAATTAATTTTATACGATACCTCGCTC